TAAAACGAATTTCATACTGAACAAAATTCACACTAATCTGAAAAGTAGTCTTGCATTTATATTCCTCCCTAACGAAACCCAATAATCACGAAGTCTTGGAATAAAAGAATATATGTACATTAATGCGTATATTTACGAAGTATATACTTGTTAAGTGGTTGAATATAGTCGTTAGGATATCCTAGACCTGGATTTCGTGCTTTTCGGCACTCTTCAGCAATGTGTGCCTGCGATCTTGATGGAATTAATACTCTCTTGATGATTCAATCACATGTCACTCGGCTTCATGATCTGAGATGTTACTACTGAGTCATTTGGACTGCGACTGACCTCCAGTGAGACTAAAATAGTTACAACTGATTGATCATTGAGTACTGATCACTACAACGACTAGATAAACATCACATTTATTAATACTCAGCGACCAATCAATTGAAAGCACATTTGTTTAAAATTTTAGTGTACCAACTTGGTTTACTCACTAGTAAAGGGAGTTTTAGTACCTTTTTCCTATACAAAAAGTTATATCAAACTGTTCTCTTTCCACATAAATTTTAAATGATATTTACAAAGGGCAACAAATATTGGAAACAAAATGACAAAACATAAATATCCAATTTCTAATGGATTTATTATTTAACTATTATTAAATTTAAAATCAATTGTATAAAATCAAAGATCAAGATTTGTGTTGCTTGACTTTTAATTATTAGTTTCTGGCACAATATAGTCTTCCAATTGCACAGTCCTTACTAGTCAATTATTGTTAGTTGATATTTGATAAATGGATAAAGTAAATGACCCGATCAGCGATTAATTTGTTTCTGATCTGTGTTTTACTTTGTTCCAGAATTCAGTAACAGCAAAGAATGATAAATTTATGGATAAGTTTTCCAATGATTTCGTTCATATGAATGAGCATTTTTCAGTTCCATTGGATGGCATAGAACTGTCTAATGATAATAATAATAATAATCCAATTCATTATATGAACTATGGAATTGAAACATTTACATCGCCCACATGCTTTGCTTATACCATGCATTTGTTTACATTGATCACTGCAATTCTTGACCAACCAATAATTTATCCTAGAGATTTTGTTGAAATTTATCCCAAGTTAAAACTGTTGGATATTTCCACTCGTGATATTTCTCAATCAGATCGTTGGTAAGTATTAACTTTATTTTTATTACAAATTTTTAGTATTTGAACAATGTAGTATTAAGGAATTATTTTAGAATAAATATAGGACTTGTTAAGTATGTGACCAATTGTACTTTTAATAAGTAAATGTTGTTTCGAGAAGTTAGGTGGTTGAAGATAGTCAACAGGAAACCGTCTAACTAGGTTTCCTGATAGTTGGTGCTCGTCAACATGGTAGATCTCCAATCGCGAAAGAACTGATGCTTCCTTCGGTATCCAAACAAGTGTCACCCAACTTGATCGTTCGAAACGTTGCCACTAAGCTATTTGGGTTGCAACTACTCTACTGTAGAACTCAAATACTAACAATTGATTGGTGACTAATATCATGTTTGTCTTGTCCTTTTATTACTGATTACACACAGCATAAGATTAGTTCGAGAGTGGTCTCCATCATGACGCAACATTATTGAGGAAACCATGATAAACAATTGAGCACTGGATAGTCGCTTCATCATAGTTTCAAAGGAAAAACTTATCTAAAGCAATTGGTCCCTTTTATAAATTTCGATAGAACAATGGGAAGACGGAGTTGATCTGATAAAGGCGATATATTAGCACTAAACATTTCGAACAATCTGGTCACACAGATACTTGTCAAGGCATATCAATAATAATATAAAATGCTCTGACAAGTAAATGTGTGACCAGATTGTTCGAAATGTAGATTGCAAATACATCGCCTTTCTCAGATCAACTCCATCTTCTCATTGTTCTATCGAAAAACTTATCATTGTGTACTTTCTATGGTACACGCGCGAGTCAACCAGATTAAGAGTAAGGCGACAATCTACCGATGAAATTGGATAAAGTTTGAGCTTTCTCGCTTTAGGATTGACTTAAAGTGGTTATGTAGGCCATTGGATTTCGACCTAGTTACTCAATGGCATCGTGTTTACAGAGCGATAAGGAGCTAGTGATTGATTTTTCTGTCAAATCCTTCATAGAATTATGTGGAAGTAACATTTATTCTTGCTCTATTACTTTCGTAATGTCGATTAATACTGTTTGCCTATGTAGAGTTAAACTTTGTAGATTTAATTAAGATATGGAACAACCACGTACACTCACTATTGTATTTAAATATTCCCTTGTAATCTCATCTTGCTTTTTACAGCCAAGCAATTTGCATACTAAAGCGCAATATCATGTCTTTGGGTTCAAGATTTAATTTATATCTGACGCCAGAAAAGCATGCGTTGTATAACTTGAAATATTTATTTGATCATTTTCAGAACAGTAAGTGAAGTTAATGTGGCGTAACTGTTCTCAATTTTTATTTAATCGAAAATATTACGGTTAATTTTGTTTGATGTTTCCGACCAAACGACTAAGTGATGTGTCGAAATCCCGAAACGAAAACAGTAGCTCTTTGTAAAATACGGTAGTATTAATAATGACAATATAAGAAATATATTTACAAGCCTCAGTACATGAGGTTTCTATGGTGCTTACCGCGTGCATATGCATTCAGAGATGAAGAGGTTCTTGGAATAGCTGTATGGGGATTATTTACCAAAACATACGATAATCTACTTGATAGCCAGTAGTTTTGTCAATACCACAGTGCAACCAACAATCGAAACGAGTACTAATAGCACAAAATACTAAAACTATCATGCCGTAACAAATTTTTGATGACTAAACAAGAAATCGAAGTAACTGTCACAATTATAACAATAAGTTGACTGAAAGTCACAAGTTTATGTAACATATCCATAAGTTCAACTCAACAACGAAGGGATGTTATGCTTCTTATGTACAAAATTGATTGAAAATGCCATTAGCTACTGAATATTAGTGAGAAACATGATGTGGTACACAAAACGAACCGGATGAGAAGGAAATAGAGGTAAAAGATGCAAGTGGAATTGACAATTAAAATGTAATGTAACCTGCTTTTACTCGTACACTCTCAAGCCACTGTCTTCTGCCATAACGACTATGTTGATTGCCACTATTACTAATTATAACTGAGGTGACCGGACAATTGACTTATCATCAAATTTACACCGCTTAAGTTTTGAAATAATATTACTGAGCGATCATGTAAATGCATAATGGGGAGTTCAGACTATTATTATTGTGATCAACAATCGACTAGAACGACATGAAACTGATGGTCACTAGGCAATCAGTCAGACTCCATTCCTGTACCGTATAATATCATCTTTAATATTAGTGAATTAAATGTTCACGATTGTATACGAGTTTTAGAGAACATTGAAAATTCTAATTTTGTCATGAACCGACTTCAGTTGGATGACCGTTGATAACCAGGAGGCAATTGGAAGGTATTTCGTTAGGGTAAGGGACTCGCCAGTAGTTTGTATCCGCGATCCCTCAGGGGTGCGAACCCGTGATCGTCAAGGTTAGCAGCGATCGCTTAATGTTCAAACCACTGAGTTTCTACTTCGTAATTTACATCCATATTTTGAGATATTGCATGGCCATCACCCATTCTCACTGGTGATATCTGTCTCACATCCGATATAGCTGTGAGTGGGGTGGTAGATAAGATAGATACGGTCGATGAGTCCCACAATAGGACAAAATAGTTGTTCCTAGTTCCCTTGTTTTCATTGGTTGTTTAGATAAAGTCAGTCCTTGGTATAAATCTGCAAATATCTATACGAATTTGCGCATAACTCAAAGCAAAAATAATCCATCTGTTACCACTTGATCAGTGTCGTTATGTCCTGGTGTGTATGTGTATTTGAATTGCGGAAATGCGTAGTGTTTTTGATTTAGTAGAGTAGTTAAGAGCATCCATGACTTAACTTAATATTACTCATCTGAAAATAAATGACCATAAACAATCGAGGAATAAAGTTATATAGTTCGTAAGCCCTGAAATACTCCCAGCTCATTTGTATTATAAATTTCAGCCGTCAGTTTGTATCCTGTTGTTATAGTCATAATTAGCGTAAATATATATATTATTGACGTTATGACAATCGAAACAAAATGATAGATCCTAACTATCGATTAAAGTCACGTTTTTCCATCAGTGTTTCATGTGAAACACATATTCTCAAGAGATTTGTACAAGATTGTAAATACCACTGTTTGTCTATTGTAAAATACCACCAATTCATATTGTGAGATTCGATATAAATCTTAGAAATCTAACCGCGGACGGTATGTACAGAAGTCCAGCAGCATTAACTATTTTCCAGAAGTGGAAAAATTTTACTTAATTCGGTGCTTATTGTTTTTTAATCTGATCTGATGATGATTACGAAACTCTTACTGTTTGAGGAACTCCTAAGCTTGCCAATTTTGTGATATCTTCTAACTTAGTGTCCACGTGATCTAATCACCTATACACATTGTTTCAGATATATATTTAACCAAGGAATATTAAAATGTTTGAAATTCAAAATCATGTGCTAGTTACCACAATCAAGACACATTTAACACATGAAATATACCTGGTTTACTAATCTTAATATATTGCTGAATCAACATAGATTTAAACAATATTTAATATAAACAATAAACCGTTACTTTGATTAGAATTTACAAGTGAATCAATGACTTAAAGGTTAAATAATCTAACTTCTAATCATTAAAAGCCATGGGTTTGAATGACTCTTCTCAGCCTACTATGGTTTAAGTAGTCAGTTAGTAAGTGTTACTACCCCGTTGTATGTGTGAACACATGCACAAATTGTAGCTTATAATAAGGTATATAGAACATCTTCTTGGTAAAGTGAATTAATAATGATAAATATTTTATACTAGATAGAATTCAATCTTCATCAAAATACTTCTTTTTTCTGTCTTTTTTTCAGATTTATTAACAAAGATATACCAACATGATATTGTCGGGTTTGTATAGTTGTTTTGTTTTTCTTCAAATAAAATACAATGTGGACTTTTTTTGAATGACTGATCATAACAACAATTTGATTATGGATTGATTGATTATGAATATGATGATTATCTCATTTTATCTCAATATATTTTGCACTTGTTAAAATGCATTAAATAACGCAGATAATTAGTGACAGTGTGTGTGTGTTCTAACATGTAAATTATAAGAGCAATCGATGTGCATAAAAATAGTTTTATCTCATTAAAAAGTACATAATATTTATACTCAACAAATCAATAATTAAGACTTGTGTTTACTCTGTAAATATAAGTACACATAGTTAATTTGTTTTCTTTTTTTACACAATGAAAAGGCCGAGATCATTGGAACAGGCAGATAAAATAATATGTACTTCAATTTATTATTAATACGTTCAAGAATAACTAAGAAATTTATTCTCTAAAATACAAAAAGAATTACTCAAACAAAAAAATAACCTATGGATAATAGGTATATTTCTTGTGAATATCCCAATGAGTAGAGAATTGTATTTTTGACGTTTCGTAATCTAATGTAAGCCACTTCTTCACAGTAAATAAATAACCGAAATGCAATTAACACAAGTTTAAACAGTACATGGGGTTATTTCCTTTGTATTATTTAGAGTTGTGTTAATCTTTTTTCGGTTGGTTATTTACTCTGAAGAAGTGGATTAATATTAGGTCACGAAACGTCGGAAATAGTTTTCTACTCATTTGGAAATAACAAAAAACATATTTATTATTAACTTTCTACTCAATGCTGTATTTACCTGAAACTATCAAGTCCAACCTTGACATTGACACCTAAACAACAACCTGTGGTTTTGAACCCTTTACAAATGTCGCCTTATTTGAATTAAGTGCTGCTGATAAGTGAAGTCCAGGGAGCGTAATAGCCCAATTTAACCATAATCGTGAATTATTAAATTTTATCGACCTCGTCAGCAGAAGTGGTTGTCATGTCTGACAGCACCTCAAGCCAGAGTTGTATCACATCAGGAATCCCAACCAAGAAGTCCTGATGGATCAGCAGATGCCAGTCTTATACAGCTTTCTTTCATAGCCGGGCTCCATATCCGCTTTTCCAATAGGTCTCAGCCTCAGCAAATAAAGCACAATATGGAAATAGCTGAGACAGCATTTGTAGTACATGTCCGAGCCATCGGAAGCTTTTTCTCCACATGGTGACGCCAACTGAATTATGTAACCGGGTACCCAGTTAGACTTCGTTGAACCTCCGCATCACCGACATGGTATTGCTGCTGAGTGTCATCAATCCATCAGACGACGATGACCGCATACAGAGTTATCTAACACCGACTCGGAGGGGTCAGACTTAAAAATCATACATCGAAACTGATCTCATCGATGTTTTAAGCCCAATTTACAACCAGACTAACATCATGAGGGCGCCGGTGCCATAGGTTGGCACAAACCGATCTGGCATTCAATATACACAGGTCGACCTTATCGGCCATGTCACCGTCGGCACCAATTCACCCACCATTCAGAGACACGGGTGTTCCGACTAATAACAGATCACAAATAGTGCGCAGTACCATGTTCCCAGGCATTTGGTTGCTCGGACTGTAATGCTGTCGAATCCAAGCAGTCATTCAGAAACAAGGATAAATGGACATGGCTGTCGAAAACCTTCAACTTGGCGACGGCGCTGACTCCACAACTGTGCTGTAAATCAACATAACCTGAACATTTGCCGTCCCGACGTCGGTTTCGTGTCATATCACCATTCCCAAAACTAACACCTGTGTAGATACAGGCTTTTGTCTTCTTCGTAATAACGATAACAACCACTTTGATACTACAGAGATCGTATCATGTTCACGGCCTTAAATCGGACAATATTTGGGTAGCCTGCCCTTCAATGCACAGTTAGACGGTGGAGTTCTTAGTGATATTCGAAATTCATTTCTCTTGGTGTCATCAACGTCTTTTGTATGCAGTTAAATAAAAGTAGCAAAATAAAGTTTCAGACTAATTGTTAGGACGGATATCCGCATCTAACATTACAAACGGAAGTATATCTCCCAGATACTTTGCACGAACCCCTAGATTGTTAGGCCAGTTTAAAAACCCATTCAGAAAAAGAGCCTACACTAAGATCAGATGGGTAGATTGACTAGACTACTTTGTCATACGACAGGGCTGATATTTCTTATTAATAATAATGGCTTAGAAGAAAGCAACGCAAACATGCACCGGCTTCTTTAACAGCCCAACCGCTATTGTTTACTTCTGAAATAGAATTGCTTGGTAAGTGCGATGAGAAGTATTTCAGTTAACTCGTAAGCAAGTCCAGTGAAGTACAAGTCATTCAATTATAGATAACACATTTATTCTGAGAAGTAGTTTCAATGAAAAATATGAGCAAGGTAAACAAAATTCTGCAATCAGGTGCACACAAAACTGATTTCATCAAATGGCAATCAGTGAACATTTGAGATTGCCATCGTCATATAGCGAGAATTTGTTCAAAGCTCAAAAGTTCCATTGATCACTTCTTTTCCAAAAGCTCCATGATATCTCCTACAATATCCTACAAAAAATTAAAAGTTTGGTCGGAGATTCTAAAACTAAAAGGTGATTACGTATCGATAAAACTGCGACAGTTTCATGAATTTTGTCACCATTAGACATTAAGCATCATACTTGGGACTAACCACCTAATACGGTAGACGGTCAAAATCAAGGAATTGTTTGGTATGGACATACACTAGTTCAATTCCCCACACTCCATATTAGTATTACAAACTACAGAGTCAACGCTATGTGAAGTACAGTACATTAAAAATGTATTACAAATAGAAAAGGTGAGATCAGAAAAAGATAATTTACGGATGCCAGACAAGAAGTGGGTTACTCCACGTAATCATAGCTTGCGATTATCTCGCCAATATTAATCAGTAAGTCTGCCCCAACAGACACAGGGCAGGTAAATGAAGAGAAAAAAATCACTTGTAATAAATTAGATCTACAATATATATGAATTACGTAGTGTGAGAAAATTAGATATTCCTAGCCCTTGAACTCTGCAGTGGTCGAGGATTCCACTATTGCTTGAAACAATTTGTGCTTGGATTGATACATGGTCCAATAACCGCTACACATCCAAGTGCTAAACGCGCTAACCGGTGCCACTAAACCAGGAAATGGAAAGATGAAGACTGCCATACAGAAGTTTTGTACGCTCCCACGCAAACCGTAATTATCATACCTAGTGCTTGTAGTACACTGATGTACGACTAATTGCAGGCTTGCAGACCATTACAAGGCGATATACAAGTTTTCTGAGAAAAATCAAACTTTAGGAGAACTAGTTGTATAGACGTAGCAGTTAACTAAGTTCAATCCAAACAGTCACGAGTGTGGACATCTATTAACCTAATAGTGTTGTTGACGAAAATGACTGTCACATTGGAGACCAAGACATACAAAACCGAAGTGACAATATTGTGAAGTAAGGTTACTCAGTAAAGACACGAAGGTTCGTTCCTGAAGTTCTAGTTTCTTCGGTACAGATAACTATTTCATAACTGAGTCGGAAAATCGTTTGGTCTATGACGTCATATAGTGCAATTTAAGATAGTTAACTTAAACTCGAATTTCACTCATGAAGTTTGACATGACCAATAACTGAAGTAACTATGCAGCGATGGACTATATTTCACGTACCATAAAACTAACAAGTAACTAAAGTTGATGTTTCATTTTGTCATTCATGACAATTAACCGGTAACTTTATCAACATGTACCGGCTGTGAGGTAATATGCTGTGTCCAGGTTGGTTTTTTCGACGTATAACCACTATTGAGGTGAGACTAGTTTGGAAACGAATTAATGAAATCATCTAAACAACTTATGTTCAGCGAGGTCACTAACCTGCTAAATATTCAAATGAGTAAAATTTCTTAATGGCAGCTTCAAATCTACAGGAACTATAGGTTACGTGACGTAACGTAACGACATTACTTGCGATCAACCAGGTGGGGGCAATAACTAAGGTTCAATTGTGAATACTTCGCTCCGCAATTTCGGATGTTAGCATATATTACTAGTGTTTGTTTTAACACAAATTCCTCGTGACGTACATTATATGGTGACCTTAAGTGATTTGTCTATGAGCCATGTTTTACGTCTGCATGTCATTAGACGGGAGGAAGTTAACGCACCCATTAAGTGACTGAAAGTTACATACTTAAGAAACAACACAACAAAATACTTAGACAATTAGGAAAAAAATCGAAGTGTGTAGGCTGGATTGCTGATTTTGTCAATTTATCTCAAGTTACGTCTATCTATTTTGACAGTCAGAACTGATAACAAAATAGAAATATTGAAAATTCAGTAACTCACATTTGGGGCAGTTGTAGGAGAATATCTTTTAACCGGTTGGCCTTGACGATCTATAAGGAATTTAGAGAAGTTCCACTTAATATCACTACGACATTAATAAATAAAAAAACAATTACTTTGTTAGGGTACCATGCAGTCTACTTTTAAGAAATTTATAGAGATCATCAGCGTCAGACCCATTGACTTTTATCTTGGAAAACATATCGAATTGGACGCCATACTTTTCAGTCACAAACTTCTTAATCTCCGCTTCCGCCCAGGGTTCCTGCAAATAACATTGGTTTAAGTGTTACATACCTGTCCGCCGAATTGGTTGCAGGGGAACGCTAATATACGGAGGCCTTTGCCAACCAGTCGAGTGTGCATCTCCTGGAGTTGGCGATAGTTCTTGTCCGTTGCGCCTCACTTACAAGCGACGTTAACAATTAGACAAACATGACCACTAAACAACGAATAATTATCATTCTACATAGAAGAATATCGAACAAACCGGTATTTCTCTAAGGAGACATCCACACCATTGATATCTTTAACAGTGAATTCATATATTGAATTCCAAGACTTCTGAGATGAAGACTTAAGGAAGAAATTAGAGAGACCACAACGTACCATCACAGCACACCCAATCGTAAACAATGATTTGGGAGATTTGAATAAGGCGCGACAAAACATCGTTGAGCCGGTCTTCAAGTGTTCAAATGATTGTGAACGGAATTGAAGCAGATTTTGATCAACGAGCCTACTTGACCTGTAGCACTGGATCACGTTTACCACCAGGTAAGGATGTGGATGTGTGACAAAGTCATAAGAGAATTCTTAGTAAATTACAATGGTTAGTAAGACTTATAAATGTGGACAACCAAACTGGTTGTTCACCGTTGAGGAAGGAATGCGGTGCGATGAGTGTAAAAAGTGTTACCATAAGATGTGTACACGTCTAGGTCCTACGGCATGCAAAAGATGCTCGAAGCCTAACTCTCATTGGCTTTGTATGTTTTGCTGTACAAATAAGAAGTTACTAAATCAGAAGGCTACGAGCCTATTGACTTTGGTCTGTAAGAAAAACGATGGCGTTTGCGCTGGTAACACCAGCAGTGACAGTGAAGAATGTGTCCGTGTAGTACGTGCTGCTACAGGACCCGCTAAACACCCGACTGTGATTGACGGGAAAGTGAAATCTCCGTTAACATTAACGATGAGTGAAGTGCCGCTTGATGTTAATATCGGTCATCATACACCTCTAGTGGAAATTGAAGGCCTGAATAAAACTCACCTTTCCTAATAGTCCCGGTGTGGCTGTCCTGAGTGATGATAAATGGACTTCAGTACGGAGAAAAGGAAGTGAGAAAAAAATCTTTAGGCAAAACACTACTGGTTAGCAAGTCATTGGAGGAGACGGTATCAGAAACGAAAACTCCACTGCGTGTCAAGTCAGATCTCTCTGAGAGGCCAGTCATTTTTCATAAGTCCAGCGAATTTATCGATAAGGAACCAAGGGCTAGATTTGAACACGACCTCAGTCATATCAAGTCCTTAATAAGCAAACTATTCCCAATACAGTTTTAGGAGTTAGTATTTGTAAGTTTTATAGAATAGGACAAAAGGAGGATTCTAAAAGTCCTCAGGAGAACTGCCTCTTGAAGGTCAAATTTGCCACGCTTGAAAATAGGAACTTGACTCTAGGTAACTCACGTAAACTGATTGGGTCCGGAATATACATCCGTGAGGTTCTCAGCCTAGCTGATCGTATTAAGAGACGAGCTGCAAAACTGGAAATAAATGAGTGTCGCCGAAACAGTGAAAGAAACCTCGTTCTTAAGGGTTTTCAAATTGTGAAAGTTCGGAGCAAAACGATCCCTAAACCACTCTGGGTAGTAAGGAAAAGTTCTCCACAGACTTAAAGGTATGCTACTGCAGTCCAGAATGTGTAGCAGATGATTTTCTCCTAAGTAAACTAAGTCCTGGTGTAACAACGGTAAAAGCCTTGTAGTAGGCGACTTTAATGCACCATATATAAACTGGGTTAACTTAAAAGTAGGGTCATCCATATCGTCGTTCGACTGCAAACTGTTAGCAACCTCGGTTGGACTAGCATAATTCCAACACATTAGAGATCCCACAAGATACGACGTAAGAAACTCTTCTTCTCTTTTAGATTTAGTCTTTACACACGGTGATGACGTTGGTCAAATGGCTTTTCTCCCACCACTTGGGAGAAGTGATCATGCACTCATCTTATTCAAATTCATGACTGAGATTGCCTGTCAAACAGTTGCGCCGGTTCGTCCTAACATATGGAAGGCAGATATGCAGGCACTCAACTCCGCAGCATCGGCTGAGAACTGTGAAATCGACCCAAAGGCATCAGTACAAGAGGCATGTACTCTATTCAGGCAGTTATACATTCGGGTAACTCAACCATACATACCCTGGACTGTCCCAAAGAGAAAGAAGCACGGACATCCCTGGATAGAGCGGGATATTCGACGCTTAATAAGACAAAAGAAGAAATGCTGGGATGTTGCCATCCGCCTTGGCACAGTAGGTACTATGGAACGCTACAGATCGATAAGAAACGAGTGTATAACAAAAATTCGGGAAGCTCAGAGAAAATATGAAATGCAGCTGGCACAATCTGCACTCAAGCAGCTCAAGAGAATATTCTCGTACATAAACTACAGAACAAGGATGCATCATTGGATTCCCAACCTATTTAAAGTAGAAGTGAATCTGAAATGATAGAGGAATGTCAGGAAAAAGCAGAGGCTATGGCTGACTATTTTGGGGCGGTTTTCACTCAGGCACCTCCTCTAGACAAAGAACCAGACCAAAATAAAGAGTCAACAAACCACCTGCTCACCATGGACTTCGATCAATACGATGTGCTTAAGGCTCTTAACACCCTAAACATGGAAACGTCAACATGACAAGATGAACTACACCACAAAATCTTGAGATATATTGCCCAATATATCGCGGCCCCACTGACTGTGTTATTCAATATGTCACTTGACCAAGGTGTGTTACCTATGGACTGGAAGGATGCAACCGTCACTCCCACACATAAAACAGGACCAAGACAAGTTCATTCGAACTACAGACCTGTAGGCCTCACCAGTGTTGTAGTTAAAATATTGGAAAGAATAGTCAAACGGACCATCATGGCATTTATGGAAACCAATAACTTGCTAAACATAGAGCAACATGGTTTTAGAAAGGGTCTCTCTTGTACAGCAAGGGAGTTCTGGAATAATGCGGTAGACAACGGAAACTCAGTGGATATTGTCTACACAGATTTCAGTAAGGCTTTTGACAAGGTGCCAACTAATAGACTGCTATTGACGTTGGAAAACCTTGGTATTGCCGGACTTCTTTTAAAATAGATTAGGGATTTCCCAGTAGGTCGTAGACAAAAAGTAAGAATAAATTCCAAGTGCTCCATTTGAAGACCAGTACTTAGTGGAGTACCCAAGGTTCCGTCCTAGGTCCATTACTTTTTGTGATGTCTGTTAATGATCCTACAAGTATAGTACAGTCTTCAATGTTATTATAAGCTGACTATGTAAAAATTCGGAGCGTAATAACTGGAGACAAAGACGCATTTACTCTTCAGGCAAACTTAGATAATATGATAAACTGGTCTAAACAGTTGCTGATGCCTATCAACGCGGAAAAGTGTGTCTACATGCACTTGGGGGATTCAAAGGTTAATACGTACAACATAGGGATGTGTCATTACCCATAGTCCGGTCTCATAAGGCTCTAGGGGTGACAGCGAGTAATGATCTTAAGACGACGGCCCATTGCCGGGAGATCGCAGCCAAGGGGTTTCGAACCCTCTGGGCTTTAAAAAAGACATTCACTAAGTTAGATACTACCATGTTCACCGCAGTGTACACATCCTTAGTGAGAACCAAGCTTGAGAACTGCGTTCAGGCTGCAAGCCCCTGTTTAAAAGGTGACTCGGATGTCCTAGAACAAAATACAGGGAGCAGCTACCCGTGCAATTCTAGGACTCCAGGGTTTACCATACGAAGAGCGGCTTGAAAAGCTGGACCTCTTTACTCTGTCCTATCGCAGATTAAGAGGAGATCTAATTTCGATGTACAGAATACTGAGAAATGATTTTGGACCTAACTTATTCTCTCTTTTTCTTCCCACTAGATCGGGACATCTCGGAAGACATAGCAGGGGGGAGTAGAAAAGCCAGGAACGAACAAAATACCCGTGGTATGCAGGTTTTCACACCGCGTCATCAATACTTGGAACCTGCTGCTCGCCTTTGAGTTGTCTGTACTCCATCGAGTGAAGATTCAGTGATTCAGGACGCTCTTTATAAGGGTTTAATTTGAGTCTCTTAACTGATATCGTTGACCGACCTGACATGAATTCTGTAGTATTCCTCAATTTATATTTGAGGAAAAGCCATTGCGTTTCCATATTCTAAACGGGGCCGAACCGGACTGCTAGTAACCAGTTGATGGAACTTGCTACTAGACTGTCCATTTAAAGGCCTTAGCTTACTTAAGGCTATTACCTATATTAAAGCATAGACCGCCGGTCAGAGTTCTAACACCAACTCTGTGCTGTGTTCTCTTTCCTGCTTGTTTACAAGTGGTATTTGTGGCCTCAATCTTAGTCTCTGATTCTCAATGTCATGTGCTTCGTGATCTGCCTGGTTTATTAATGCCGTGGGGATTGAGTCACTACTTATTTTGTGATGAGTTAATGGTTTGAGCAAAGTGTAACCTGTCCACATACAGAGTCTTTCCCTAACCTCCTCCATTGGTAGTTGGATTGTCCTCTTCTGCGAGTTAATATCGATCGTCCCTACTAAATGGATTTGGCGTAATGTGCGTAGACAGCCGTCTATAAATACCTGGACATTTTGACGATAATTGTGGTAGGCATACAAGTTTCTGTCCCGTTCAACCGAGCAGTTTCAACGTCTGCATTGTCAGCTGCGATTCTGATCCCTAGTGACAAGTGGTTAATTTTTCAGATATTCTCCTTTTTTGCTTTGCCAAATTTTACATTCGGATCTTCATTGGGTCCCTTTTGTTTATCAGCGATTCTGACTGTGTGTCAAGCCTCCCATGACTTCCAAATCTCCCCCATCAAATGTGACGTGGTTGGTGATTACTGTATTTTATTTTGGGATCCCGACTTCCTCTTGTAAATGTTGAGTTCTACTGAAGGAGAAGTCGTTGCTTCATAAGCCGCTTTCGTCTGCATTTGTTGCCGTGTGTCAGAAAGTAGGTTTAAGTCACCTGTGGTGGCAAAACCGTCCAGCTGTGTGTCAAGTTGTCCACCATATTCCGTGCTTGTCCGAAAATGTGAAGGTCTCCATAATATAGTAGGTAGGTAGTGAGAAGAGTCAGGTCACTACTCGAAATGAATCTGCACACTGCCATCCATACGCGAAGTTGCACGGCAGTTTGCAGTAAGAGTTCCGTATGGTTGCCGCGGTCTTATCGGCTACTGCATAGTAGCGTCCTATCGTAATCAGACTTTGTAGTATGATGATGTATTCCAACAACGCCATTGTGCACCAATGACCAACGGTGTTGCTTTTTGCTAAGTAATTGATCTGTCTTTACGAAAGCTAGCCTAGTGATCCTAAAGTCGGACGTGCACTGAAACTTCCATTCTGTTTGTTGACACTTTTGAAAGTGCTGTGCTGACTTTCGAATAACACTGAGTGCTCACCATAAATGGCTCGGCCGCTCGGGCTTG